GACCTTCCAGGCTAAACAGACAAGGCAACCCAAGGCCGGATGATTCTCCCCCCAGTACAGCTGTGGACGCTGAAGCCCAGAGAAGGCAGGGTTTTCAAGCCCTGAACTTGTAGCCAGATTTTCCAAAGAGCCGGGGTCAGCCCTGAAAAACGGAGCAGATGTTTCAAGCAAGATGAGAGCTCAACGTGCTGAGTGGTTTGATTTGTGAGGGTTATTGCTTCTATCTAGTGCATGAAAGGGAGGGGAACCCCTCAAAGTTTGCTTCTCTTCTACCCCATCTGTGTAATGCAGAGTGGATGATTGAACCTAGGAGTTCTGCATGGTAGCCCACTGCCTTAACTACAAAGCTGTGGGGATAAGTTTAGGGAGATGGTGCCATGCTCAGAGCTCTGCCAGGAAAGGGTTTATTTGCTGGCAGGCGTAAGGGATAATTCTCCACTGGCATAAAATTCATGGGGCCTATTTTTATGTCTTTATTTTCTTTTCTAAAGCTGCTTCAGGTTTTGGGTTATAAACTCGGGCTCGAGCCTGTTGGACTCGGCGGTAAATCGCACGTTGATTTCAACAGCAACGGGCGCGCCGCCCCTTTCGCTCGCCTCCCGTGTCCCCACCCGGCGCACCCTGCTTCTGCACGGCGCGTCCGAGAGGCCGCGCTCTCATCTGCACGTGTGCGGTGTCGAGACGCGTTCCCCCCCCCGCCCCTCGTGAGTGACAATCCGGCTACTTCCGCTGGCGTGGCTCTCTGCACGGATGAATCGGAGCCCGGAGAGCTGCCGTGCCGTGGTGCTCGCGAGCGACAGTCACGCTGGCCTGTTTTGGCCGTTGGGCTGCCGCTCAGGCAGTGTTTCATAAGAAGCTGTTGCTGGGGGAGGGAAGATCCAGGCTTTGTGTTTCCTTGGCAGGCTGAGACAAGCTCTTGTGTGAGGGTCCGCTGCCCAGGCTATTTATCTCTAGGCTGCCTGCAAAGGGGATAAATGTGGCTGCTCCGCGATGTCGGCTCACTAGAACGTTAATCCCTGCCATGGTTAATTCAAAGGACCCTATGAGTCAGGACTGAGTCAGGGTGGTACTGGGGGGTGGGAGCGGGGGGATCGGTCCATCAAAGTGTGGGTGGAGAAGCCTATAGGAGATACTCTTCCCTCTCAATGAGTGCTGGTCCTTCTGCTTTGCTGCAGGGAGCAGGGTGGGTGACTCAGTAGAGGGCGCTCTGCCTTTGTATTCAGTGTTGACCCACTGTGGGAGCTGCGCTGCAGGGCTTCAGTAGGGGGCGCTCTCCGCTTGCAGTCAGGGCTGACCCCAATGCGGTGCTAGGAGGCGCTGCACTGCAGGGCATCAGTAGGGGGCGCTCTCCCCCTGCAGTCAGCGCTAACCCCAAAGTGTCACGAGGGGGCGCTGTGCTGCTACTTGACTTGGCGTCTTTCAGATCAAATGCGAAACTGACACCCGAAATCCTCCCGGTGATCCTGCCACGCTCTTTGCAATATAGTGGTGTTAGCCCATTTAGCCAGGGCACTGTGGTTAACTGCAGCCTACTTCCTTCCAGTCCCTCATGCCGTGTCAATTATATACAGGGTTTTTCTTTACTTTCTATCCTAAACTGATGTACCGTGTTGCCGTTGAACGCTGCTGCGCCCCACCCCAGAGGAGGCTGCATTCATAGACTCATAGATTCTAGGACTGGAAGGGACCTCGAGAGGTCGTCGAGTCCAGTCCCCTGCCCGCATGGCAGGACCAAATACTGTCTAGACCATCCCTGATAGACATTTATCTAACCTACTCTGAAATATCTCCAGAGATGGAGATTCCACAACCTCCCTAGGCAATTTGTTCCAGTGTTTAACCACCCTGACAGTTAGGAACTTTTTCCTAATGTCCAACCTAGACCTCCCTTGCTGCAGTTTAAGCCCATTGCTTCTTGTTCTATCCTTAGAGACTAAGGTGAACAAGTTTTCTCCCTCCTCCTTATGACACCCTTTTAGATACCTGAAAACTGCTATCATGTCCCCTCTCAGTCTTCTCCTTTTCAAACTAAACAAACCCAATTCCTTCAGCCTTCCTTCATAGGTCATGTTCTCAAGACCTTTAATCATTCTTGTTGCTCTTCTCTGGACCCTCTCTAGTTTCTCCACATCTTTCTTGAAATGCGGCGCCCAGAACTGGACACAATACTCCAGCTGAGGCCTAACCAGAGCAGAGTAGAGCGGAAGAATGACTTCTCGTGTCTTGCTCACAACACACCTGTTAATACAGCCCAGAAGCACATTTGCTTTTTTTGCAACAGCATCACACTGTTGACTCATATTTAGCGATCCCTGCACAAATATGAAAGGAGGGTTGTTTATATGGTTATGGCGGAAGTCACCAGGTGGCGCTGTGACAATCTTATCAATTCTTTCTCTTAGCCTGTGAGCAGTGGTCAGTCTTGGAAGCCATGCTGCGCTCTTTTTCGGGGTGCTGTTTCTCTTTGGAGGAGCTGTTGCAAGCAGCAGGAGATAGCTCAGAGTTGTGAGTTCAATGCTTGAGGGGGCCACTTAGGGATTTGGGGCAAAAACAGTACTTGGTCCTGCTAGTGAAGGCAGAGGGCTGGACTCGATGACCTTTCAGGGTTCCTTCCAGTTCTATGAGATAGGGATATCTCCATATATTATTTCATTGAGCCGTTGCTTCAGTCTCCCCAACTCAACTCCCGAGTCTTTGGGCAGAATTGCTCCCTGGGAACCAGCCATTGGTATTTGGCCAGAAAGAGGGCAGGGGTCAGATGGGAGAGAAAAAAAAAGGTGGTACTCTTCCAAGCTCCGCCCACTAAATACGCCCCGCCCATGTGTGTCGCCAAAAGGAGATGCTGCCCACAGCAGATCGTGCTGACGTTCATAAAGGGGGCCGTGGTGCCGCTTGGTTATCTCGGCTCCATACGCTGAGTTGCCCCTCGGTGGGGTTTGTCCCTGGGCTCTGCTAGACTCCTGGACTCAGTGTGACAGAGAAGGCAATTTCCTGCAATCTCCCGGCCCAACCTGATTGAATTAAGCATCAGTGTCCTAAGGGTTGTCTACCTTTGCAACGCTACCGTGGTAAAGCAGGTCAGCTACGCTGCTGGAGCGCGCCGGTATAGACGCTACCCGTGCCGATGGGAGGGGTCCTCCTGTCACTGAGGTTAATCCATTTCCTCGGGAGGCGGAGCTGGCATTACTCCGTCGGTGTCACATCGTCAGGAGACACATTTCAGTGGAGACACATGTGCCGCTAAGGCATAGCTGTGTAGTGTAGACCAGGCCTAAGGCAACAGCTCACTTGCGCCCCGAGGAGACATCCGTTGTCAGCTGATCAGCTGTTACAGAGGGGACGAGATCCGACGCCCAAACTGGACCGGCGAGTGACTCTCAGATTCACGGCGGGGCTGGTTCTGAGCGAGAGCCGTTGTGAACTTGTGGCCACAAAAAAACCGCTGGGTGGGATTACAAAGACTGATCACCGGCCAGAGCCCTTGTTAGAGCCCAGGTGATTGCCCAATCCTTGCCCTCTGCCGGCTCCAGGATTTTGGCTGCCCCAAGCAGCCAAAAAAAAAAAAGCCGCGATTTGCGGCGGCAATTCGGCGGGAGGTCCTTTGCTCCCAGCGGGAGTGAGGGACCGTCCGCCGAATTTCCGCCGAATACCTGGACGTGCCGCCCCTCTCCGGAGTGGCCGCCCCAAGCACCTGCTTGCCAGGCTGGTGCCTGGAGCCGGCCCTGTCTGCCAGGTCACTGGAGGAGCATCCGCGCCCAAGCAGCAGGTGTTGCAGGAGATACTTTGTAGTTTGGGTCTCTCTGCCACAGTCACAGCCATTGCAGCCAGTGATGTAGCCTCACTTGATCAGCGCATCTCTAGACTGGCCAGCTCCAGCGCGGAGTCGATTAATAGCCCAGGGCTGTTCTGGGGGAGAGGCTTAGCTGGTGGGAGCCGGAGCGTGCAGGTGACAGGGTCGCTGGTGTTTGGCTGACTGGGTGACGGTGTTAGGGCTTTAATGGTGGCCAGAAACCTTTGTTGGGACGTTCAGCACCCGGGTTATGTCTTGGGTCCGCGCGTCGCCTTGTGCGCTCGAGTCTACTAGCAACTTCCCGGCGTATCTCAGGAGGAGCAATACGGCTGAGGCAGGCAGATTTGCTGGGGATCAGGCTGCTTGGATGTATCCGGCTGAGATGCACGACTCTGCCCCAGGAAGGCGATGGCTGAGAACCTGGGAATCCAGAGCGGGTGCCCCTGCTGGACCCCAGAAGGGGAACACGGGCGCAGTTACCCTGAACTGTAACCGACGACGCCTTCCTGATTGCGGAAGAGAAACAAAAATTCTTATGGCTGCTCCCAAACCCCGCCCGGCACATTGGGCATTTCCGGGACCTGCTCTGGCCTGGCCTCACATGAAATCGTTAACACAGCGGACGTTTAAACAGGCTCACTCTTTCCTGAGACGAGGGGGGCGGTTCACACCTCACCGAGCAATTACTTCAGACTCTGCCTGGGGACGTGTTTTCTGGGCAGCCAGAAAACCTAGCTGGTATGTAAATGAAAGCGGAGATTCTGGAGAGCAGGAGAGTCGGTTCAGAGAGGGGCAGGTCTGGCACGCGGGTGTAGCTGGGTGCCCTGGCGGACGGGGGGCCTGCATGCTGTTTGCAACCACCTCTGTCCAGGGACTGGTGTAAATGAAACAAGCTGTGCTCAGAAAACACCCAGACGCTTCATCGCTCCCGGTTCTGCCACTGGTCTGCTGGGTGACTTTTTGCACGTCCCTGCCCTGCTCTGTGCCTCAGTTTCCCCTCCCACTTCTGACTATGTAGGCAAGAGCTAACTGGTGTCCCTGCAGCACCCAGCACAAGGGGGCCTTGGTCTGTGTTGGGACCTCTAGGTGCTACTGTCATACAGGCTCGGCGTGGCGTGGTATCGATTTTGGATGGGGAGTCAGGTGCTACCATAGTGCACCTAATAAAGGGGTAGATTCCCCTTTTTAAAGACCTTCCTTCTCTTTCCAGCTTTCACTTTCTTTGACCCGAATGACCCGGCTTGCCAAGAAATCCTCTACGACCCCAAGACCACGGTCCCGGAGCTGTTTGCCATCATCCGCCAGTGGGTGCCCCAGGTGCAACATAAGATTGATGTGATAGGCAGCGAGGTGAGTGAGGGGAGCCGATGTGCCTTGCACAGTGCCTGCATCTGTGTGGCCTGGCGCTGGGGAGAGGCGCCGGGTTGCCCACTCTGGGGACACGGGACGCACCGAGGGGGGGCTGCAGCTGGGTGGAACCGGCACACCCTGATTAGAGAAGGGCCTGATTCCACCAGGGGGTCTGAGATCGGTGCCACAGCGGGTCAGAAAACAGTCCACAGGAAATTACGACGCAGAGTCTAGTGGGTAGAGCTGGGCGGGGGCTGGGCGTCAGGACTCCTGGGTTCTGTTCCCAGCTCTGGGAGGGGAGAGGAGTTGAGCGGGTTAGAGCAGAGAGGGGCTGGCAGCCAGGATTCCTGGGTTCTATCTTCAGCACTGCCACTAAGTCGCTGTGTGACCCTAGGCAAGTCCCTTCCCCGCTTTGTGCCTCAGTTTCCCCCCTTCTGCCAAAGGGGCAGTGCCTGCCTTCGTGATCCCCGGGGCAGAGGTGCACCGTGTTGCTGCTGTTAGAAACTCCCATCAGGCCTCCCTTGCTCGTCTCTTGTACCCCCCAAGCTCCCGTCACCAGGGACCTTCCCACTCCATGCTGGGTGCTGTTCTGACCTGGAAATTAACCGGAGACGCAGCGGGATGGCAGGTGGGGGTGGGGAACGCGGCTTGACCAGCTCTGACCAACCCCACCCCCTGCTCTCCCTTTCCCCTCCCCTTCTTCTCCTCCCCGCAACCCTCTCTCCCCCTGCCCTCCTCCCCTCTCTCCCCCCCAGATCCTGAAGCGCGGTTGCCATGTGAACGACCGGGATGGCTTGACAGACATGACGCTGCTTCATTACGCCTGCAAAGCCGGGGCGCACGGTGTCGGTGAGCCGGCGGGGTGGGGTGGGGGGAGGGGGACAGGCTGCACGGTGGGTTGGGAAGGGGTAGGCTCCCTTTTGGGGGTCGCCCTCTATCTCAGCTGAGGCGCGAATGGCTGAATCCCCTGGTTGGGGGGCAGGGAGCTGCTGTCCTGGAGCAATTGGGACAATCTGGGGGGCTCACACTCCCCCACGCAGGCTCTGCCTCCGTGCCATGGGCTAACCCCGCACTTGAAGGGGGGTCGCAGGCGGCCCCCATCCCCTTGAGGCAGGGCCAGCATCGGGGGACCTATTCCTTCCCCTGTGGAGCAGGATCGGGGCCATTTTCCTCCTGCACAGAGGTGTGTGTGGGGGGCCCTCAGTGCTCACCTCAGCTGCTGGGCCACCTCTGCTTGGTGGCGGGGGGGTGGGGCCTGCTGTACTCTCCCCAATCTGCCCCACACAAAGCTCCCTGCTCGAGTAGGGTTGGCTGGACCCCCTGGAGCAGGGAGGCTGGGAGTTTAAAAACCCACTGAGACACCTCGGGTAAATCCCCACACTCAGAGCGATGGGCTCAGGCTCTCGCCAGACCCAGGCAGCGTCAGTTACACCCGGGACAGCTCCCCACGCTCAGAGCGATGGGCTCAGGCTCTCGGCAGACTCAGGCAGGCATTAGTCACATCCATTGCTGTATTTCGGGCTTTCCCCCCTATTCGCCATGGCTGGAGAGCTGCTTCCTTTCCAATGCAAGCCAAGCTCCTCCTGGGGTCCCATGGACTCAGGGAGCCGGGGGTCCCGGCCTGGGCCCAGCGTGCCTCTTCCTTCCTCCAGTCTGGAGGGTGCTGCTGTCCCTCTCCTGCAGTTTAGCCTCAGGGGGAGGGTGGTTCCAGGGGCTGTGGTGCCCACTCAGAGGTCTGATCCCTTCGCCTTTGCCCCCTCCTCCCCCCCCAGGCGACCCTGCTGCTGCCGTCCGCCTCTCCAACCAGCTGCTGGCCCTGGGGGTGGATGTGACCCTGCGTAGCCGCTGGACCAACATGAACGCGCTGCATTACGCCGCCTACTTTGATGTGCCTGAGCTCATCCGCATCCTGCTCAAAGGCTCCAAGCCCAAAGGTGAGCCGGGGCGAGAGGTGGGGAGACACAGGCCGAAGAGGCGGACGCTTCCCCCTGAGTCCAGCTGGGGGCCCCCCGAGTGCTACTGCCCCGTGGCTCTGCGGTTGCATTGCCCTGGCCCAAGCGGGTTCTATCCCCAGCTGTGGAAGGGGAGTGGGGTCTAGTGGTTATGGGGGAGGGGCTGGGAGCCAGGACTCCTGGGTTCTATCCCCAGCTGTGGAAGGGGAGTGGGGTCTAGTGGTTATGGGGGAGGGGCTGGGAGCCAGGACTCCTGGGTTCTATCCCCTGCTCTGGGAGGGGAGTGGGGTCTAGTGGTTAGAGCAGGGGGGCAGCTAGCCAGGACTCCTGGGTTCTGTTCCCACTTCTGTCACTGACTCATTGTGTGACCTTGGACAAATCACTCCCTGTGCCCCTGTTTCCCCTCTAGCCCTTGGCCTGGGGGGCGGCAAGTCCCTTCAGGGCAGGGGTCGATGCCTCACCCTGGGCCGTGTCCGCGCTTTGCCTTGCAGTGCTCAACTCGACCTGCAGCGACTTCAACCACGGCACGGCGCTGCACATCGCCGCCTCCAACCTGTGCCTGGGGGCTGTGAAGTGTCTGCTGGAGCACGGGGCCAACCCCGCTGTCAGGGTGAGAGCGCGGGAACGGGAGCTAAACTGCCCAGAGGGGAGGGGATGACCTTATACAGACAGGATTCCAGCTGGGGCAAGATAGGGGGGAGTTGGCAGCACATAAAGGACACCAGACTGTCAGGATATGGACCGGGGGGGGGGAGGAGGGAAGGGGGAAGTGGCAGCAAACAGAGGACCTAACTGGGGGGATATGGACTGGGGGGAGGGGCTGTAGGCAAAGATGGGCCCTGACTCTGGGATATGGACTGAGGGGAGGGGCTGCAGGCAAAGAGGGGCCCTGACTCTGGGATATGGACTGAGGGGAGGGGCTGCAGGCAAAGAGGGGCCCTGACTCTGGGATATGGACTGAGGGGAGGGGCTGCAGGCAAAGAGAGGACCTGACTGTGGGGATATGGCCTGGGTCTGGGGCTGCCTGGAAAGAGGGGACCTGACCCATGGGGATATGGACTGGGGGGTGGGGCTGCAAGCAAAGAGGGACTCTGACTCTGGGATATGGCACAGGGGATGGGGGAGCGCACACAGACAGCCTCTCGGGCCCTTTCCCCCCTCCCCCGGCTGCCCTGTCCCCTCCCCCCCGTCCCAGCCTCTCTCCCGCTCTGCCCCCTGCAGAACAGCAAAGGGCAGGTGCCGGCCGACGTGGTGCCTGACCCCATGGACATGACGCTGGACAAGGCCGAGGCCGCCATGGTCGCCAAGGAGCTCAAACAGCTGCTGCTGGACGCCGTCCCCCTGAGCTGCAACCTGCCCAAGGTCACGCTGCCCAACTACGACAACATCCCTGGCAACCTGATGCTCACCTCCCTGGGCCTCAAGCTCGGGGAGCGCGTGGTGGTGGACGGACAGAAGGTACCGGCCCGTCGGCCCCCTCTGGGAGCTCCCCAAGCGAAGGGGCGGTGGGCTGGGCCGGGCTTGGATGGGGGATCTCGGAGCAGAGCGGGGTGGGGGCTCAGTAGGGGGCGCTCTCCCCTCGGTGCCTGCGCTGACCCCAGTATGGTGCTAGGGGGCGCTGTGCTGCAGGGAGTGGGGTGGGGGCTCAGTAGGGGGCGCTCTCCCCTCAATCCCAGCACTGACCTCAGTGCAACAATAGGGGGTGCTGTGCTGCAGGGAATGGGGTAGGGTGACCAGATGTCTCAATTTTATAGGGACAGTCCTGATATTTGGGGCTTTGTCTTATATAGGTG